GCGAAATTACCTGTCACCTTTTAATTTGTATATTGTTATGTGAGTCATCCATTCATATTCGGGTTTCCCCATTTTTCTCGAATATTGATCATCATCATGTAGCAGGTCCTTTGCAGAACGCCGTTCTCATCACAGTCTGCCTGTAAGAAACTCGGTCTCTTGCCAGCTCTCCCGCCCCATGAACTTTCACACTCAAGGAGTCACTTATATCCTGTGCCCATCTTCGTGTCGGTCGGCCTCTGCCCATCCTTCCTGGTACCATGACTTCTGCTATAATTTTCTCCAATTCGTCGTGGCGCTTGATATGACCAAAATATTTCAGCTTTCGAGAAAGGATGCTGTTTATTAGCCAATCTTCCTTGATGTTCAGATCTTTTAAGATGTCAATATTTGTCATCTTCTTTGTCCAAGATATTCTGAGAATCGAATATTGATACGTAAAGAAAATATTTACAGTTTCTTTGTACGTTATGTATCAAATTGGTAATCTCGCTTTTACTCAATAAAGTAGACACCGCAAAAGAGCAGTCAAGCTTCCCAATATTTACTGTCAACGAAAATCTACGTGATGTTCTTTTAATGTATTTGCTGGGTTTCCTACCCCTTGTCTAACTGTCAGTAAAACTCCGGCAGGCCGTAGTTGGGAATTAATTTTTCTCAGTATTGAGCCGTACAGGATCTCCCAGTGAGAGTTTTTGATTAATCAGTGCGAAATGTAAACTTGAAAGGTTAACGAAAGTGACAAATGACTGTCTGTGTTTGCGCCAATGACAATGCCATAAATTGTTCCTTCTCAACAATAAGAATTCTAAAGGGTGACTACAGACACCCAGTCAGCTTTCTCTAGCGATTTCAGTCAATCTTACCGTCCTGCTTCAAGTCTAGATAAGAACCTGGCTAGGAAAGGGCACATTTGTGTAAAGTTAGATACAGACCGGTCTCTCTTCAGCGACTTGGGTAATATATTGTGCCGGATATACGTTGCTATCTCGGGTACAGTATAATGTAATGCAGTGTTCTTCAAAACTGAATATCCACCTCGTGATTACCCAGATGGCATCACATTTATCCCACAGTCTTTCTGTTTACATAACATATCAGAGTTCGGTTTTATTGATACGGCCTCGGCCACTCTTAGTAAATGTCTATTCAATGTACGGTAAAAAATGTTGAAGTCATTATAATTTTCCTGGCCAGAGTCAAGCAAATGACGTCCCATCGAAGAACTGCGTTCTCTCTTCTTGAGATACAGCAAAATATGCCGGACAGTAAATTGTACATGTATTGTTTGTGTGCGTATTATTTTAAATTACAATGGGAAAACATTGTTTTAAATGTAGATTCTGTAAAAATGTGCCGTTTCCAGGATGACAGTAATCGGAAGAGCTTCTGTCTTTATGCACATTACGTGAGGGTGTTACAATCTCGTCTATGGTGCGACTTTGGTACCACTTTCTACATCTTCTCAAGAACAGTCTTTATCTAAATATAACCCTGATATGTCGAAGATTGGATTGTGAAACGATGTTGTCTAGGTAAGTTCTTCCAGCACCACATTGTCGCGTGCAGCGTCTAATTAGCTCAGCATTACAAATGTAGTACTTCAATGATTTAGCATAAACATTAGGCGGACATTCGTGGGTGGACCACCTGGACATCTCAGCTGACTGGTGCCGGTCTGCCTACCACTATTTGAAGAACACTGATCACGGAGTTCAAGTGCCAGTTCGTATACTTGGCTGAAGTTTGCCTTGTTCGTGACAGAGGGGGCACAAGGTTTTGCATATCGCAGGAGTTGTTTGTCTTCAGGCGACACTTGTAGCCGGAGTCTTTTCAAGGGGGGTATGTTGTACTTTCGATCCGCAAGTTTACTTACTTTGAAATATATTGCCACTTTATACTGAACTGTATCGTGGAATTCATCCATGAACAGACGTGCATGTGTACAGGTAAGGAATTTTATGCTGTCTCATTTATGTATGCGAACTTTTACTTCATCTGATGTGTTGACAAATGTTTAATTAAAAACGTTCTACATACAAATATAGATCTAAAGGTAAAGGTAAAGGTGGGAGGATCGATTTCACTGCACATAGTTTCATCCCATTTGGCTCAGTCTCTCTCCGCAGAACCGCTAAGCTGCCTGTCGTGAGAGTCGCACAGAGTACAAGCTCAGTAGCTTCGGTCATGATCCCTAGGGATCTCCGTAAAACTTGCACTCGTTAACTGGACAGCCCCGCTGTGAAACGAACCCACGAGCTTCAGAGAGCGAGGCAAATGGCTTGACCACTTCGCCATCAAGACCGCCTATGTACATGTAAAGAGCGACTGACTGACTGACTTTCTACCCCACCAGGACATCACACAAGCGATAAACACCCGATGATACAATGTGCCACCATGCGGATGAGGATCACCGTGGAGAGGGCCCAGAAACCGCGTTCAGACAATTGGCCATACCTATGGCCTGACTATATTGCGGCCCCTGGTAAGAGCCAGTGTGGGGCTTCAAATAACGAAAAATGTCATCCTAAAAAGGACGGCAAGTAGTATTTTTGAAAAGAAGTAAAGAGCGTTATATTTAATTGTATGTAGCTTTATGAACCTTACTTCACAAAATGTATTCACGAACGCACATATATATATGTACATATAAGACATTATCAAATGTACAGGGCATCATCATTATTATCATCTTGTTTGTATCCTGGGAAGTGGTTTGAATACTGACTTGGTGGCTAACAATCATTTTTCTCCTTCTCCTAACACTTTAGACCGTTGCATCATTAACAATATCACCCCTTTAGCCACATCAAATGTCTTTCATTCATTCATTCATTCAGTAGCATGTCCCTCGCGGAACCTCGCTGCCATAACAACCCTCCGGAAAACCTTCCTATCCTGAGCAAGATGTCCTGCGTCTGATACACCCATCTGGAGATCATCTGCCACATCCTGCACCCATCTTCTCCTTGGCCTTCCTCTTCCTCTCTTCCCAGGCATATACCCCTCCATTATTGTTCTCTCTAGACTTCCATGACGTTTCAAGTGACCAAAATATTTCAATTTTCTTTGTTTTTATTGTCTTTACTAGACATCAAATGTCTTTAGCTGGTTTTATTTTGTGACTAGAGAGGCGTTTGTGATCCGAGGGAATGCTGTATCTAATTCAAGTCCCGTATATTACAGATCGATCGGCATGAGATGTGTTATAGGGTCAACATCAAGCGTATCGTTTTGACTTTTCCCTGTTTCCTGGTACGCTTTTACGCTTAGCAAAACCGTTGTGCTGGCTAGCCGGAGATACAGTCTATGACCACTGAGAAAAATAGCAATGGTGATCCCGCCAGGTAGCTGTGACTGTCGAAATCATCTTCTTACTTTTTTTTTCTATTCCATGCAGTGTGACATCGGTAGTCATGTTTAACCACAGCTTTCTGTCTCGTGTACTTTCAGTCACTACTGTCACATATGATCTTCCGTGTCATTATGTCAGACTGTTTACCGAAACCAACAAGCTCAGAGTGACTGCATAGATCTATTCCATGCAGTGTGACATCGGTTGTCATGTTTAACCACAGCTTTCTGTCTCGTGTACTTTCAGTCACTACTGTCACATATGATCTTCCGTGTCATTATGTCAGACTGTTTACCGAAACCAACAAGCTCAGAGTGACTGCATAGCTCTATTCCATGCAGTGTGACATCGGTAGCTTTCTGTCATGTTTAACCACAGATCTTCCGTGTCAGACTTATGCTCAGAGTCTGCATAGCTGTTTTTTGTCTTCTCGTAGTCATGTTTCTCGTGTACTTTCAGTCACTACTGTCACATATGATCTTCCGTGTCATTATGTCAGACTGTTTACCGAAACCAACAAGCTCAGAGTGACTGCATAGATCTATTCCATGCAGTGTGACATCGGTTGTCATGTTTAACCACAGCTTTCTGTCTCGTGTACTTTCAGTCACTACTGTCACATATGATCTTCCGTGTCATTATGTCAGACTGTTTACCGAAACCAACAAGCTCAGAGTGACTGCATAGATCTATTCCATGCAGTGTGACATCGGTAGTCATGTTTAACCACAGCTTTCTGTCTCGTGTACTTTTAGTCACTACTGTCACATATGATCTTCCGTGTCATTATGTCAGACTGTTTACCGAAACCAACAAGCTCAGAGTGACTGCATAGATCTATTCCATGCAGTGTGACATCGGTAGTCATGTTTAACCACAGCTTTCTGTCTCGTGCACTTTCAGTCACTACTGTCACATATGATCTTCCGTGTCATTATGTCAGACTGTTTACCGAAACCAACAAGCTCAGAGTGACTGCATAGATCTATTCCATGCAGTGTGACATCGGTAGTCATGTTTAACCACAGCTTTCTGTCTCGTGTACTTTCAGTCACTACTGTCACATATGATCTTCCGTGTCATTATGTCAGACTGTTTACCGAAACCAACAAGCTCAGAGTGACTGCATAGATGTAAAAATATGTTTTATTCAATATGTTTTATTCAACTTCTGAATGAGTACGAAGAAGAAGGAATTGCCTTATCATGATATTTTAATTAACTCAAAAGATTTCAACAATTAATATTTTTTTTTAAACGCAATGTAGTTGGTTTAATTTCGCTGGTGCATCACTTATGCAAATACTGTATATTCAACAGATAAGGCATGACCTGGACATGCGCATACAAATCATTCAAGCCGTGCCATATTTGGCTACATGTCTGCCTGCTCTATAACGTGGTTCGGCTTAAAGGCAGGTTTTCATTGACAGCCCTGAATTTTCAGCATACACATATATCTAATGCAAATACATCGAGCCTTGCATGAAGCCAATCAAACATTAATCTAGAGAATCTAGTTTTTGCAAATCTACATCTGTCAAGGCCGTCTGCGAGCATTTACTAACCATCCAGTACTAAACAGTTTTTCGCTGCAGAGCCAGTGTAACAATTGTTTAACTGTCCCGCCTAGCCTCCAGAGATGCAGCCATCAAAGACGCCTGATAGTTCCATTCGTAGGAAACTCTCCGGAACAGGTCCAGGGGGCGCTCTTGGGACCTCTGAACTTTCAACGTCTAACGTGTCAGCAGCAGCAACATCTGTATCATCTACACAACCATCAGTAGTCAGATCTACGTCTGGTTCATCGACACAACCTCAGAATGCTGCAGCCGGCAGTGTCTATAAGGCCTCTCTGGTTCTGACTCCAGTATCTCAGGTAATGTATCCGTTTAGCGGGTTTAAAAAAAATGGCAGTGGCGGGGCGGGATCAATTCACAAGTGTAAGCGTTAACAGGTAACTGTTAGATCGGAGAGGTATCACATAAAATATGCTTAGTCGTCGCTTCGCTGTTGACAGTATGAGTGCGCAGCTATCACTGTAATATTAGTAACTGGTAGCTTTCGCAAGCTACAATTTTTGAATGTGTAGCATAAGCCTGCAGTGAGTATTCATTTCGCTACGTCCCAGACATAACCTGAGTGGCGTTTATGTAATAAATAGTAAACAGTAGTAATAAATAGTATACAGTAATAATAAATAGTAAACAGTAGTAATAAATAGTAAACAGTAATAATAAATAGTAAACAGTAATAATAAATAGTAAACAGTAGTAATAAATAGTAAACAGCAGTAATAAATAGTAAGAAAATTATCTTTGGCAAAGGAAAGCTTGAGCAGCGATTCCAGACGTTACATGCACGCCTTGTCACTGAATAATGAGAATTTCTAGCGACGTTGCTGCTGCTGCTACTACTACTGCTGCTACTTCTGCTACTGCTACTGCTGCTACTACTGCTGCTACTAGTGCTACTACTACTGCTGATATTGCTGCTACTTCTAGTGCTGCTACTACTGTTGCTGTTACTACTACTGCTGATGCTATTACTACTACTACTACTACTACTACTACTACTACTACTACTACTACTACTACTACTACTACTACTACTATTACTACTTTTACTACTACTACTACTACCACTACTACCTTACTACTACTACTACTACTACCACCACCACCACCACCACCTACTTCTACCAACACCACTACCACCACCACCACCACTGCTACCACTTCTGATGCTACTAATACTACTACTACTATCTACTATTACTGCTGCTGCTACTACTACTATTACTACTCTGCTGCTGCTGCTACTACTACTACTACTATTACTACTGCTGCTGCTACTACTACTATTACTACTGCTGCTGCTGCACTTACTACTGCTGCTACTGCAGCTACTACTACAGAACTGCTGCTACTATTACTACTACTTTTGCTGCTGCTACTACTACTGCCACCATCACCACCACCACCACCTACTACTACTGTAACAGCCACTGTTGCTCCTACCTACTATAACTACTAAAAATGACCTTGGCTCCCAGGTCGACCCAGCCTTGAGTGGGTACGGGGTTCAGTCCCGGGAAGTAAAGACGGCCGGCGAGCTGCTGACCACATCACCCACCTTGTGCCGATTGGTCTGTAAGAATATAGGTCTAGCCCTATATGCACTATACGCCTAATGGCGTGGAAGAGGGTCCTTTACTTCTTTTTACTTACAACTACTACTACTGCTGCTGCTGCTACTACTACTACTACTACTGCTGCTGCTACCACCACCACTACTACTACTACTACTGTGTACTACTACCTACTAATACCACCACCACTACCCCCACCACTACTACCACTTCTGCTGCTTCTACTATAACTACTACCTACAACTGCTGCTGCTGCTGCTGCTGTTACTACTACTGCTGTTGCTGCTACTACTACTACTACAACCAGCACTACTAACACTGCAATCACTAGGTATTATTATTAATATTATAATTACTATTATCTAGGCATCTAAGTTTGGAGCAGAGAGTGACAATCATGACCTTCCAAATTTTCTCTATGATCTGACAAATATTTATACATTCTGACTCCTGATAGTATATCTACTTACTGCCTCCTGATAATGTTTCTACTTACCGACTTCTGATAATATATCAACCTAATGACTCCTGGTAATATATCTTCTCATCTTTTTTTTTTCTAGGTATATATATATATATATATATATATATATATATATATATATATATATATATATATATATATATATATATATATATATATATATATATATATTTTTTTTTTTTGCAATCAGAACATTAATAATAAGAATAATAATAATGTGTTAAATGGCAAAAATTTATAAGAACGGGATGGGCAAGGGGGCGTTTAGTGATTCTTTCCCCTTCATGTTTTCTTTTTGTCGGCGCACCTTCTACTTGCAATTCATAAATCTGATGATTGACTCTTTCTGATATCTTCTAACTGATCCTAGGTTTAATAAAATAGCTATTAACTGACTCCTGTCTCTCTTGAAAAAACATTTTTTACTCTAAATTTTTTATAATGTAAATATCCACTAGTCGGCTCTGTGGCTAAGTCGATGCGAACGCTTCGAAATGCCGGGATGCCGGGTTCGATCCCGGCTGCGGGCCATGTGTCTTGCGTTGGTTTCGACAGTGATATTAAGAAAGCCGACCGTCCAGTGAGCAATGGCAAACTACTGGACGTAATTTGCCTAGAAAAACCACACAACAACCAGGGGCTGTTGGGGTTGTTTCTGCAACGTCCTGTAAAGGATACGCAACTAACCTTATATAACTACTAATTAGCGTGCGTCTAGCTGTATATTCTTCTATTTGCCTCCAGCGTTGCTGACAACATTACTGATGGACTCGTTATTCACGTTCTGAATTGCTAGCAGACATAATCTCTTCACGCTTTGACTTTCTCTCTTCTTGGCCTAATGACTGACAGGCGGGCAGAGCACTGCTCTTCTGACCTGGCAGCTTTTGCGGCAATCCTTGTTCCAAAAGCGTACTGGTGTTAGGTTTTCTTCGGTATTAAAAAAAAAAAACCCGTGTGGTTTCCTGGGCCCTGTCATAGGGAAAACCCAAAAAGCATGTCCTAAGAGTCGACCAATTGGGAGCTTCCTTCGAAGTCGGAGTGCCTCTGCCTGAGAGGCATGGAACCAAGAGTCTGCATATTTAAATTAATCAGATCTTTCAAACGGGTGCACACGCAACACTCAAGTTCTGGAACAGGACTGCAGTCCAGAAGTGGACGAGCAACCAGAACTTTCCGCCAGAGTTTACAGCTGGTGAACGTAAAGAAAAAAAAAAAAAAAGAAGGGGTTAAAAAAAGCAGGGCGAGTGAGAGATCATGCTGCATGAGTAACAGATGGGTCCCTGCAAAACTGCTCAGGGTTTGTGCTATGGAGAGAAGAAACTTTCTCCCTGGCCTTAACGAATTTGGAATCAAATTGAGGGGTTTTCTAAATCAGGCAGTCTTTGTAAGGTAACTATGCAATGGATACCATCCCACTGTGGAGTTCCTGAAAAGGAAAGAGCTGATAATCTAAACTAACTAAACGGACAGAATTCATTTCAACCCATTGAAATGGCACCATAGGTTACAGAAATTTATATTAACGAAGCAAATGTCGAATAACAATCACAGCAACAATTTACGAACACAGTAAGACCTTATTGCTTTGTCTAGAATACACAAACATTTAAGAAAGGTATTTGATTGGTAGGTTCCGGTGTGTATACGTCATTCCTATAAATAAACAGAGGGGGGAACCATTTGAGGCCGTTAAATATTATGAATTAATCAAGTAACAGAAAGTATTGTGAACGGCACTCATAGAAAGAAGTAGAAAGATAGAAGAAACACACTAGACAACATAAAAATCGAAAGCTATAGTTACCGTGCCGGGAATTGAACCTGCCTCCTTATAGAAATTTCCAGAATACCATGTTCTGGAATAACTAAGTGGGCCAACAACAAACCAGTGACTGACTTTCTGTGTGGCTCTAATACCGCTGCTTTACTCTGTTATGTGTTGATAAGCGATTATAAGCTTATCTAAACCTAACAAAACAGAATCCAGACTGTAACAAATTGGGTTCTACTTACTTCCTTGTAACATTTCTTGAGCAGATCTCCAGAGGTCCACGTAGAACAAGCCGCCATGAGGCTCTGACAGGTGAACACTCATCCAGTTTTGATCCCGAAGTGTACAACCCAGATGGATCGTTACGTACAGTACACAAGTTGCCCAGCTTTGACCAGTCCTACGCTGATGCTAGAAACACCAGGTATTTTTGTAATTTCTCATAAGGGGATCACACAGCCCCATGTTGTCTGGTGTGATCTTCTATCTGTCTACTTCTTTCTGTGAGTATATATCCATATGTTTATTATCTGGCGTTAGCCACACACAGAAATGTATACACGGTAATCGCCCAGAAGTGAAATACATTAACATTTTCACAGAGGCTGATCATTAAGTGCCTTGTCGACTGGCGTGGGCGATCATGCCTCTCCATATTCTGCGATCTGCAGCTGCGTGTATCAGTTCGTGAGCTGACACCCCTCTGTGTCATGACAAAATACTGACAAGAATATTCTCGTGCTCTCTTCCCCTGTCTCTCTTTCCATAGATATTTCCAGTGGTCACATCATGTTCTATTTTCCCTCTTCTCATAACATGACCAAAACAAATTATGACGGTCTCTTTTTGATGTTTGTGATAAGTTGTCTTTGAGCATTCGCCTCTTTCAAAACAACTGGGTTACTCTTCTTAGTTATCCAAGGAATTCTGGGGATACTTCTATAAAACCACATCTCCGAGGCCTCAAGATATTGTTCGGAGGCTAATGGAAATCACCTTGATAGCTTGTAGTAACTTCACACATCATATGTAACGTGTGTGCGTCTCTTCGTGTCTGAAAACATTTAGCATCGTAATGTTTATACAGGTTGTTATTTTAAAAACTCCATACAACACAGGGCTACCGTAACGTATTTAAAGGCCACAAATATCGTACATGTAAATACATCTCAATGCTGGGTGATTACTTTTAATATATATTTGGGAGTAAAGAAGAGGTGAAGGGGAGAGGAGAGCCCTACTGTATTAAAATGTATACTACAGCATCAAGGGTTTCACTTATGTTTACTTATTTGTATTACCCTTGACTATGTATAGAAGTTTTTTTTTTTTTTTTCTCTTTTCGTTGAACCGGGTTAACTAATGTAGCCAGGTCTCTCTCTGCAGATCACCTAGCCGCCTGTTATAGCATCGCACAAATCACTAATACCCCCGCTCCGGCGATGATCCCCTGTGGTCTCCGTAAAAATTGCACTAGAGAAACGAACCCACGATCTACGGAGCGCCAGGAAAACGGTTTGACTACCTCGCTACGGAGAGCACCTGGTATTTTGAGTTGTAGAGTAACATTAAAGGGGCCATTTCCCCACCTCCGCGGCTATTTGAGAATACAACACAACCCCCCCCCCCCCCCCTTTTTTTTTTTTCGCTCGCGCGCCATTACTCTGGGAATTCGTCACCAATCAGCGGGCCCTTTACAAAGTCCTTTTCAAAACACCGCTCTCCGCACGGCCAGTTTTCCGGCCCTATGTGCTGTCATATATATTATAAATATATGTATGTACATATGTATGTATATGTATGTGTGTGTGAGTGTGAGTGTGCGTGTGTGTGCATTATGCTTTTACAAAACACAAGTGTCATAACTGTTTAAACACTTATACATTATTGACACAACCAAATTTACAATAGGCATTGCATACACAATACTCGCGTTACAAGCTATATCTTTTTACAGCCCGGCTCACTTACGCAGTTGGTTAAAACCCTCTGCGCGGCGACTGGGTCACGAACTCCTTGTGGTTCGGGTTCACGCCCATTTAGGCAAAAAAGCCACATTTCTTCCAGATTAACGGTACCTATAATAGAAACAAGGCCGAGGGGTTGCGATTTCCATAGTACCGAGCCAAAGGTTTTACAACTCATGGTTGCTGGATACTTTAAAAAAAAAAATTATATACACGACTAAATTACATTAGGCATAGCAAACACAATACGAACGTTACAAGCTATATCTACGTACACAAGAAACGTTACAATAGGCATTACAATACTGACGTTGCAAGCTATATCTAAATACGCAACTATATTTACAATAGGTATTGCATATACAATACTGACTTTTTATGTTCGGCAGGTATATCCGACACAGAGAGCGGTCAGAGAATGAGAAAGAACTATCTGTGGATCAAATATTTGAGAAAAAAGAACATTGCTAGATGTTTGGTTTTTGCAGTCAGTCTACATCCTAAGTGTATTACCAGCCAGTCTATGACTGAATATTCATCGAAGCTTTTTACGTGTAATATCGCATTTATGATCATTCATTTGCGCTGGATATTTCAGTTAGTCTACAACCATGCACATCTTTAGGTGCTGTGTAGAGGGCAGACAAGATGCAAAAAGGGGGGGGGGGGGGGGGGAGGGGGGGGACTACATCAAGAGATGAGCGAACGGCAGTCTGAGAGAGTGTACAACCACGACAAGAGACAGAGCGTGTTGGAGATCTACTGCAGCCAACTTTCAATGTGCAGACGGCACCTGTTTGAATAATGCTTCCGTCCATTTACAATAATAAACATTTCTAAGTGCCCAGTATTTATTTTATCCAATCTTCAATAATAACCATTTATAGATGTTATGTATTCAAAGTCATGCACATTCTTATCTGTCTTGTATAGTTTCTCCCATTTACAATCATTTAACAAGCATCTTCAAGATCGTGATCCCTCTGTGGGATATCATTTTTTTAGATATTTTAACGCCCCACCCTGGCTCTTTGCCGGGGGCCTTGAATATAGATAGCTGTGCCATAAATATAGCCTAACGGCTGAACTGGGTTTCCAGGACCTCTCCACTGATGATCCTCATTCGCATGGTGGTACTTTGTGATACCAGCTGTTTGTCGCTTGTGTGATGTCCTATTGGGGTAAAATTTACTTACTTACTACTCATAAAGCATCATTAAAAGCTGACTGTGTTTGAGTCAATCAATATAGTCATGCACATTCTTAGATGCTGTATATATTCCGTCCATTCACAATAATAAAAATTCCTTTCATCTAATTTGCAATCTAATTTGTAACCATTCTTAGATGTTTATGTATTCAAAGTCATTCTTAAGTCATGCACATTCTTATCCGTCTTGTAAAGTTTCTTCCATTTACAAATAATTAAATATTCGGCTCGTTATTAATATCCTGCCATAGATGACGTGACATGACAGTCCAACATTTTAGAGGGTAGTAAGACTGGGTTTCCTGCCTTTCTGATGCTTTTAAAGGCCCAAAAACATATAGAACTGGCCCTAGCCCAAACCCGCCTATGCCCCACGATAGGGTGCAGCCTAGGTCCCGCGACTGCATGCAGCCTATCTACCACCCCCTGAAATATTAGAGTGTCCCGTGACTTGTGGATTTCCCCTGTTTGGGGTAGGATATTAATAAAACACCAAATATTCTCAAAAGCCAACTGTATTTCGGACAATATTTACACGATCACGCACATCTTAGGTGCTGTGCAGTCTTCCGTCCATTCACTTTAATAAACATCTCTTTTACTCAGTATACAGTCACATGTAATATCACAAACTGATTCAGTTAATATGCTAAAAAAAATCCAAGCCGGTTTCATTAGATAAGAATAGATTCTTTCAATAAATGAACCATGAATAAATCACCTAATTTGTGTGTGTGTGTGTGTGTGTGCCGAGCCATACAGGTGTTTAAGACAGTTAGCATGCAGATTAACTGGCACACAAGGCGGTTACTGCAACCGGCTGGTACTGGACAGGAGTGATGTCATTAATGGCATGCGAGATGCATATCAGGACGATCACGACAAGTATGAGTCTGGTTGATGGATACTGGGGTGCAACCTAGTGCAGCCAGACTTGAAAATGAGATGAGTTGAGTCAAGAATTGACATCACAGCACTCGGGGCATTCCCATGCGTGCTCCGTCCTCATCTTCAGCAGCCAGTGCAGATTTACAATACTGATGGTACCGGTCAAAATCTGGTTTATTATCCGTCTTGTCGTTCCTCTGAGTGTAGTAAGCCGGCCAAACTCTCTGGTTACATCCAGGTGCCTTATTTTCTCCAAGCCATAATAATCTCTACTGATTAGGTTGCTTGTTCCCACAGGGCCTTGACCACATCTGCCTTGCCATGTATCATTTCACCACCCAGTGGTGCAGATCCAGCCAATCTGTCTGCCGGTTCGTTACCCACTACGCCGGCATAGCCTGGAGAAAAGATCCGAAGTATGCTCACTACTCTTGACCTTCCTAGACTTGAAATTTCCCCAAGGACACAAGGCGTTTGATTGTTCAATACAGAACGGGCATGATCAGTCGTTCTTACTCTTGTGGGGGATACTGAAAACGAGATTTGAGCAGCTGTGGATCTGTCTGGGGCGATATTCTGATAAACCTCATAAATCATAAAGGTCGTAGTTTGGCTCTCTGGCGGAGCCGGACTTTTTCTCTCCAAAAATGACCTTGTCTCCCAGGTGGACCCAGGGTTGAATGGGTACTGGGTGCAGTCCCGGAAAGTAAAGGCGGCCGGTGTGATGCTGACCACATCCCCCATCTTGTCTCGATTGGTCTATTTAAATATAGGTCTAGCCCTATATGCCTAAAGGCGTGGAAAGGGGTCCTTTACTTTTTTATTTCACATTAATCACAAACAACTGGAGGTGTATTCGTTCCTAAGAACAATATTTAGGATCGTTATTTGCCAGCGTGTTTAAGGAAAGGCCAGTTTTGAGTTCCAGTAGCGTTTTCCCATCCATGTGGTAATGTGTTTATAATTTAAAATATCCCCATTAAATTAATGTGTCAAATAATATAAGTTTTCAGAATTGTTCAATTTCTTCTTGTTTTGTTTGCCCGTAAATGTGCGGTTGGTACATTGTGTTGTGGTTTACAGCTAGATTTCGATATATGCTATTTAAGGTCCAGCACATCTGATTCAGGGAACATCTAAACCTTTCACAGTAACGTCTGGGGTAAGTCGGTGATGTTTCTTATCACCACTGCTGTCTACCACCTACGTCAACAGTGTATATATACATAAGGATGCCAAGCCCAGGAACGAAAATATTAGTAAGAGTGGGGAATTATTCTTTGCTGATGACCAAGCCTTGATAGCCCAGCAGATACATACATAAACTTGCAACAACATCTAACATCTATGAATGAAGAATGTAACACAAAAAATTTGAGAATCAATACTGAAAAGACAGAAGTAATGGCAATAGGAAGAAAGAAGCAGTAACTAAATATTGCGGTAGAGTGCAAAGGCATTAAACAAGCATCTGAGTTTAAATATTTAGGATGAACATTCGCCGAAGATGAGAAATTGGAGAAAGAAATTACCATCAGATACAGACAGTAAAAGAAACCAAGCACTTGGGAAAACTGTGCCCCAGCACCTCCCCTCCCCTCCCCAACCTGTTTCTTACAACACAAGACAATCCCGATAAGCACAAAGAAATATCTCATATATCGCATATTTATGTCCACTACGTGCTACCAGTGCCAGACACGATCACTCACGACCAAGTAGAAACGAAAATGTGTAACCCTGGAAAGAAAGAAGGTGTTTGAGAAGAGCTGCAGGAGTGACCAGATCGGATACAATCAGGAATGATATCATGAAAGAAAACAAGTATGCACAGAAATAATTCTAAACTATACAATTCGCTTTCTTGTGTCCTACGACTTGTGTCGTGAAGCGTCGTAGAGAAGAGTTAGATGTAGCTACCTGTTTGAACAACATTCATTGTCGAACTTCTCCACACAAAAAAAGACAGAATATTTCACCACCTAGTGAGAATGAATCCAGCAAGCTTACAACATGAGAACGGAAACACTAAGAGGCAGAGGGAGATCTATAAGAACATGGAATGAAGGAATCGCTGACTTGACAACATCGACAACATCACAACATACCAAGTAACCCAGCGCCCACAGCTCGATTACCTATCTAATCTTAAACTGCCACGCCTAGTAGCGCAAAGCAGATATGATAACATCAAAATTTAGCACTACCGGGAAATAAATACAGCGGCTTTATAAAAGATACGATAAGACCTATAAAAAAAATTACCTAATAACAACAAGTGACATGCATTCAGAAATCAATAAAGCAATTACTTGAGGAGCCGTCATAATAGCCGGCAAAAAATTAAAAGCAGGATAGTCCAAGTACAATTTGAGTTTTAGACGACGACACCATTTTGTGCACACAATTTAGACAATTTTAGTAAGATATTACCAAATGTAACACACTACCTATTTTAGAGTATGGCAGCGAATCTTCGAATGTGAGAGGGGCATTTCGGTTTCTTAATCTGCTTCTTCTGATTGATTGATTAATTGATTGACGTTTTGCCCCACCGGGACATCACTCCGAGCGATACACCCGGTGACACAAAGTGCCACCATTAGATCATCACCCGGGGAGGGGTCCCAGAAACCAAGTTCAACCCATAGGCTGGGGATTATATTAGGGCCCCCGGCAACAGCCAGGGTGGGGCATCAAAATAACGAAAAATGACGTCCCACACTAGGACTTTGTGTCTTCAATTCTTCTTCTTCTTCTTTTTCTTCTTCTTCTTCTTCTTCTTCTTCTTCTTCTTCTTCTTCTTCTTCTTCTTCTTCTTCTTCTTCTTCTTCTTCTTCTTCTTCTTCTTCTTCTTCTTCTTCTTCTTCTTCTTCTTCTTCTTCTTCTTCTTCTTCTACTGCTGCTGCTGCTTTCCCTCCTATAAGGGTGTTTGACAGGCTGCGATATGTTCGCCCTTCTACCCAACACATCCGATTTCATCAAACCCCTAGTTAAACACCTTTTACGACATGTTGTTAATGTGGCAATGGCTCTACCCATGGGCCCTGGAACCCACATGGGAAGTTTCTGCAACGAAGACAAAGAACACCTCTGGACAACAACACACACAAAAAAAGGTGGAAAAAGTAAGGTTAATATTCCTTAACACGCAAGGTGGCGCTAAGTATATGTTAACATGTCCTTGTAATTATCAGCTGTAGGAGAGACAGACGAAGATACATTCTGTTTTAGACAGTTTAAAATGATGATGCAAAGGTAGATCATCAATACAATTGACCCCACAGCGCAAAGGACCTAGATATGTGCAGAGGCGGCATGAAAACCTAAGAGTTCTGGCACAACAAATGATGATGATGGTGTGTGATGTGTG